GCTGTTGAACAGTCTTGGGTCCCGGACACTTATTGTGTTTTCTCTTAGTGTACTAATGGTGCCCCTACTTTTCACTGGGGGTATGTTGCATCATCTGCCAAGTCTTTTCCTTTCGTAGGGAATGATTTCTGTGTGCAGATTAGAGATCAGTCCCTCAAGGATCTTCCTGGTGTAGATTATGATGCATCTCTCTTGTATGCGTTCCAGTGAGTACATGTCAAGTGTTTCCAAGCGTTCCCAGTAGTTAAGGTGTTTGATGGAACTTATATGTGCAGTAAGGGTTCTCTGTAAATTCTCTAGATCTTCAAATTCACCTGCCTTGAATGGAGATGTTAATGTACAGCAATATTCCAGCCTAGAGAGAACAAGTGATTTAAATAGGATCATCATTCGCTTGGCATCTCTTGTCTTGAATGTTCTCATTATCCATCCTATCAGTTTCCTCGCAGATGTGATAGTGGCACTCTTGTAATCCTTGAAGGTGAGATCCTCAGACATTACCACTCCCAGGTCCTTCACATTACTTTTCCGCACTACTGTGTGATTAGAGTTTGTAGTATACTCAGTCCTAGTTATTATTTCCTCCAGTTTTCCATAGCGGAGTAGTTGGAATTTTTCTTCATTGAACATCATATTGTTCTCCGTTGCCTATTGGAAAACTTGGTTTATATCTTGGAGATTTCCCATGCCCTCAATGGATGACACTCTAATGCAGATTCTAGTATCGTCTGCAAAGGATGATACGGTGCTATGGTTAACATCTCTTTCTATCTCTGATATGAGGATGAGGAACAGGATAGGGGCGAGTACTGTGCCTTGTGGAACAGAGCTCTTCACTATGGCAGCTTCCAACTTAACTCTGTTTACCACTGTTCTTTGTGTTCGATTGGTTAGAAAGTTGAAGATCCATCTGCCTACTTTGCCAGTTATCCCTTTAGCACGCTTTTTGTGTGCTACTGCACCATGATCGCACTTGTAAAAGGCTTTTGCAAAATCTGTCTATACTACATCTGCATTCTGATTGTTTTCCAGTGCATCCAAGACCATATCATAGTGATCCAGTAGTTATAAGAGGCAGGAGCGACCTGCTCTGAACCCATGTTGCCCTGGATTGTACAATTGTTGGGAGTCCAAGTGGTTTGCAATTCTGCTTCTTAAAACTCTTTCAAAGGTTTTTATGATATGGGACGTTAAAACTATTGGTCTATAGTTCTTAGCTACTGCTTTGCTGCACCTTTATGGACTGTAGAATCTCGTCTGTGTCTAAGCTCATTCTCCATAGCATACTTAGGGCCCGTGAGAGGGGTTTCTTGCAGTTCTTAATGAACACAGAGTTCCACGAGTCTGGGCCTGGGGCTGAGTGCATGGGCATGTTGTCAATGGCTTTCTCAAAGTCTAGTGGAGTTAGGGTTATGTCAGAAACTTGGCATACATTGACAGGGTTTCGAGGCTTATTCATGAAAAAATTATTTGGATTGTCTATCTTTAGACTGATTAGTGGCTCGCTGAACACAGAGTCATATTGAGATATCAGTATCTCATTCATTTCTTTGTTGTCATCTGTATAGGATCCGTCTTGTCTGAGCATGGGCCCTATACTAGAAGTGGTTTTTGCCTTGTTTCTGTCATATGAAAAGAAATATTCCGAATTTCTTTCAATTTCACTAATCGCTTTTAGCTCTTCTTGTCTTTCCTGGATCCTGTATAAGTCCTGTAACTTAAGCTCAATATTTTCCACTTCCCTGGTTAGCTCTTCCTTCCGTGTTTCAAATCTAGCATTCTCGAGAAGCTCAGCGGTTCTTCATCTTCTCCTGCAGAGGGAGCGTCCTCTCTCTCTCTCTCTCTCTCTCTCTCTCTCTCTCTCTCTCTCTCCAGTTTATTCTCTTCTTTTTCTTTTTTCTTAGGGGAATATGCCTTGAACATACTTCAGCTACCAGAAAGTTGATCTTTTCAAGGCACTGGCTAGGGTCTATGTTATTTAAGATATCTTCCTAACATGCTTCATTTAGGACATAGTTTACCTGGTCCCAGTTGATGTTCTTGTTGTTGAAGTTGAATTTGGTAAAGGTACCCTCATAGCTGTATGCATTTTGTTGATCAGGACTCCTGTGCACATAAGTCTGGACTTCGATTAGATTGTGATCAGAATTAGTCGTTTTTGATATTATGTTTCTTAACAGATCCTCATTACTTGTGAAAATAAGGTCAACTGTGTTCTTCAGTCTTGTTGGCTCCACTATCTGCTGACTTAGGGTGTGTTTATTGCAGAAATTCAGCAGCTCATTTGTATGTGACTTTTCATCTGAGCTGCCTCCAGGGATTATTTCTGCTACATTTGCTGCATTCCACTATTTTGTATTTCTTAGATTGAAGCCACCAACCAGCAAGATGTATGGGGATGGTGCTGGAAGGTTTTCCAGATAGTAATCAATTTTCGATAGTTGCTCCTTGAACTGTTGAGAAGTTGCATTTGGTGGCTTATATACAAGCACAATGACTAAGTTTTGGTTCTCGATTTTTGTTAGAACTTCGACTACATCATTTGTGGTGTTCAGTATCTCCGTGCAAATGAGCGACTCTTTGACATACAGGCCAACATTCCCCCCTTGTTTCTGGTACTTTCTGACGCATCTGAAAAGGTTGTACCCTGGTATCCATATTTCACTGTCAAAGTAATCTTTTGCGTCGGTTTCTGTGAAGGCTGCAAACACTGCATTTGACTCCCCTAGAAGTCCACTGACGGAAGGTATTTTGTTGTTGGTGGATGGCTTAAGGCCCTGTATATTAGTAAACATAAATGAGGGAGTTGACACATTTGGATTATAGTTACAAAAGTCTAGGTTTCCACATGCTGATGGATTTTATTATTGTATTTTATATCCAATAACTACATGAGTTGTAATAGCTATATCTTTCTCGCCTTCACTTATGCGCGGGTATCAACCTATGATACTGACCTGAAATTGGTTCTTAATGGGAGTGGTTCTCAATTTTCCTAGTTGATTCTGCCCTTAAGTTTACTGGTTTTACTAATGACTTTGCATAGCTGCGTTGGTTTCGTCACATTCCTTCAGATTCCGAAGATATACTGAAGTGAACTTTGTTATTATGTCTCTGAAGGCTGATCATTTTTTTAATGTACAAGAATAAGAATGCAAAACGCCTTAACTTCAAAAATGAGTATTTAAACTTTTAATGTATAACACACACACATACACAAACAGCACCATGGTTAAACGTGAACCTTGAATAATACTTGTCTCAATAAGGAAAGTCCAAATGAAGAGGAGCCCATCGTGAAGATTATACTCCCACCTTCGTTAAAGAGTTGACTAGCTTTGTTTACACTATCCATTATACATCCATCTGCAAGTTCCCTGTCCAAATTATCTTTAGGTGAATTTGTGGTAGAAGAGTATTCCATACGAACAATAGAGAACTAGAGTAGGCCTACCGAAGAACTTAACTTAATTTTCAGGTGCCCAGGTGGCCATTAAGGAGCCCTGCTCAGTGTACAGATCGCTCTTGTAGTGGAGAATCCTCCCTCAATTCCCTCTCAAGGTAAACTGCTTACTAAAATTCTTACCAACCACTTTTTATATAACATTCTTTTCCAAGATAGACAAATAACTTGATAATAATTAATATTTTAAGATATTATTCTTGCAATTATTATTAGTATATTACTCTAGTAACAAATTAAGCACTACAGCTGGCAACACTAAACGTACAACACAACCTTGAAGGTCGGGGAAATACTTTCCTTTCCTTTTTTTTCCTTTTTTATCAAGTATTGATATGAATTACACTCCCCGGGGACAGAAGAAGAGGAGTGTCGTTATAAAGCAGTAAATGACTACCATTTGCAGTGGGGATAAGAGAGGAGAACTTCACAAATTGTCGGACATTAGAGGCAAAATGACAGTTAACGTAGAACACACGAGTGGTGTCCGATACCTATAATCTTGACTTGGCGTATATGTAATAATTATCCTTGGCGTGATGTGTTATGCCATCGATACAAATAACAGCATATTTAGAGATGAGCATAAACATTAACGAGGTTGGGGAACACACGCTCGTTGATGCTTCTCGGAGAATTATAATGATTATTATGTCTTTTGTGCCGTGGATAGGTGGTGATTATTGCCAGGCGAGTGTTGGTATGCAGGCGCCTCCACCGCCTTCATAGTTGATGGTGCAGTAGCTGGCGGAGTTGCCAAATCCCCAGCGTCCACTGCTACGACAAATTTACCCTAACTTAATTTGCCAAGTATACCAGTTCAACTCTATAGATATTGAAAAATTAATTTATTGCCGTTACGTTTGCTATATAAATACAACAAACAGTTCAGAATAATCATAAACAAAAATGGCATTATCGTCGTCATCCTAATTTTGCAGGCGGAGTGATAAGACAACTGGTGTGTAGTGGGGTGGAGGAATGTACCACAAGCCACCTGACAACATTTGTCTCTTCCTTACCCCTAACCTCCCCAACTCACAAACCCACCAACCCACTCACAAAGCCGTCACTCCCAACACACAACCAGCACGAGTTCAGAGATGGAAAGTCTTCTCTTACCAACACCTTTGGAATTCTAAGATAAGTAACGGAAGTGAGGCTGGAGGGAGAGACAGGGTTGGGTTCATTTCATTTTCTTATGTTCATTTTCTTAAGAATGCATTTGATATTGTACCCAACATGAGACCGAGGCAAAAACTTGAGAAGCAGACATTGCAGTAGGCCTGCTGGATTATGTTAGGCAGGTACAACTCACCAACCCACAGGAAACAGCAGCAGGCCTGCTGGCCTATCCTACCCAGGAATAGGAAAGAACACAATAGCAGCGATAATAATATTACACATAATAAATCTCAATATTTATATTACAAAATAGCCACAGTGGAGAGTTAGTACTGAAAACAAGGTGAAGCTTTTCCAGATTAGAAAAAGAAAAAATCTTATAAAAATTAATATATAATGGTTGAAAGTTTACCTTCTCATGGATGGTTCTTGCTAAGCGTTTCGCACTGTCATTCTGAAATAAAAATCACGTATCAGATTTGTACACGGAAGCAATTTGTTGGTCGAGAAACGTTGCCAAATCTCGCACTAAGTATAACCGATATATATATATATATATATATATATATATATATATATATATATATATATATATATATATATATATATATATATATATATATGCCGTGCAAATAGGTAAAACTGGTCAATTAGCAAGAACTCATTTAAAATTAAGTCCTTTCTAAAAAAAATTCTTATACGTTTTAAACAAGCTCGATTTAATTTAGCCTAATCCAGCTAAATATATTTTAGATAAGTTTAGAATAATTTAATAATAAACAATGAAATATATTTTTTTTCGTTAGGTTCAGAATTATTTTTGCGAAACAATTGCATACACAAATTTTCGCTTGCCTTATTCGACAAGAAGAGCGTTTCCATTTAAGTCAAAATTGCTAGTTTTACCTATTCGCCACTACATGCATATAAACATTATCTCTCGGTCTACAGCAGGATTCGAACCTGCAAACTCTGCATAAGAGTACACAGTACTTGATCTGGAGTCTGGCTGTGTGGATAAAGTATGTGTACTCTGATGCCTAGTTCGCAGGTTCGAATCCAGCTGTGGACTGAGAGATAATGTTCGTAAATAATTTCGCCCGTTTGCGAACTGTTAAGTATATACATACATCACCATCCGTCTCCCACCAAGGTAGGGTGACAAAAAAATATTAAAATCAAACATTCATTATCATTCATTTGAAAGCTGTCTTGCCAGAATTAAGCAGACATCATAGTTCAGATGAATCTTCGAACTGCACCACCATCTCCACCCCTCCTTTACTGTAAAGGCACCGTACTTCACCCCTCCAGGAATCAAGTCCGGCTAACTGTATCACTGAATACCTTCATAAATGATATCTTGCTTACACTCCAACAACACACCAGGCCAAAAAAAAAAAAAAAGACTTGTCTCCATTACCTCCGAATTAACATACACAAGCCTCTTGGATGCTCAAACTCCTAGTATTCAAACTTTTTTTTTTTACTTCTTCCCTCCAATTCTTCCTAGGATAACATTTGTACACCCTCTTGGTTATGCTGTTCTGTTCCATCCTCTCTAAACGCCCAAACCTCCTTAACAACCCTTCCCCTCACCCTCCGAATTATACCTTTGGTAATCACACACCAATTTCTAATTTCTACGCTCCGAATTCTCTACATAATATTCACAGCACAACCTACTGACAAACATGACATCTCCATTGTCTCCAGCATCTTCTTCGCTACAACATTTCAAGCTCATGATTCACACCCATATAAAAATGTTAGCAATACTATGTTACAGTCCCTTTTTTAGTACATTGCGCGTGTGTGTGTGTGTGTGTGTGTGTGTGTGTGTGTGTGTTAGTTACCATTTTGTCTTCGGCACATGTCGATTAGACACTAGGCCTGTCGTATATGCGTGCGTGTATGTGTGTGTTGAAATTAAGACACATGTGCAACATCTGGGTATCTTTATTGTAGACGTTTCGCCATCCAGTGGCTTTATCAATACAAATTCTAGGACATAACTTGAAGACAAGTGTGCGAGGGGCTTGGACTTCCAGCAGGCATGCGTGAGCGTGTTTGATAGGAGTGAATGGAGACAAATGGTTTTTAATACTTGACGTGCTGTTGGAGTGTGAGCAAAGTAACATTTATGAAGGGGTTCAGGGAAACCGGCAGGCCGGACTTGAGTCCTGGAGATGGGAAGTACAGTGCCTGCACTCTGAAGGAGGGGTGTTAATGTTGCAGTTTAAAAACTGTAGTGTAAAGCACCCTTCTGGCAAGACAGTGATGGAGTGAATGATGGTGAAAGTTTTTCTTTTTCGGGCCACCCTGCCTTGGTGGGAATCGGCAAGTGTGATAAAAAAAAAAAAAAAAAAACTTGAAGACAGTAGAACTATGTACAGAAGATGAGGTAATCAGTCCCTCAACCTAGGAGTAGGTGCGAAGAGCACCATAGTCGTGGAGATTCTGAAGCAGAAGAAAGGAGCCTGGCGCTTATACAGTAACGTCAGGTGTAGCAGACGAGGGCATAGTCACTGGTAGGCGGGATTCCCCAGTGGAAGTAGGTCCTTCCCAAAGATATGGGTTAGTTGTAGTAGTAGTTGTCGTAGCCGTGAAGGTTATGTACGTGTCCTCATAATCAAGATTCTATGATGTTGCAGAGTCTGACAAGTTGTGTAAGAATGGTATATAATACCGTCAAGATGAAATTAAGACACATGTGCAACATCTGGGTATCTTTATTGTAGACGTTTCGCCATCCAGTGGCTTTATCATAAAGCCACTGGATATGAGTGATATGAGCAAACTCGCCGATGACACAAAGATAGGTAAAGAACATAAGAACACAAGAAAGGAGGAACACCGCAGCAGGCCCGCTGGCCCACACCAGGCAGGTCCCCCACAACTCGTGTGTGTGTGTGTGTGTGTGTGTGTGTGTGTGTGTGTGTGTGTGTGTGTGTGTGTGTGTGTGTGTGTGTGTGTGTCTGTGTCTGTGTGTCTGTGTGTGTGTGTGTGTATATATATATATCTGTGTGTGTGTGTGTTCACCTAATTGTGGTTGCAGGGGTCGAGACTCAGCTCCTGGCCCCGCCTCTTTACTGGTCGCTCCTAGGTCCTCTCTCCCTGCTCCATGAGTTTTATCATACCTCGTCTTAAAAACTATGTATGGTTCCTGCCTCCGCTACATCGCTTGCCAGACTATTCCACTTCCTAACAACTCTATGACTGAAGAAATACTTCCTAACATCCCTTTGACTCATCTGAGTCTTCAACGTCTAATTGTGACCCCTTGTTTCTGTGTCCCCTGTGTGTGTGTGCGTGTGTGTGTGTGTGTGTGTGTGTGTGTGTGTGTGTGTGTGTGTGTGTGTGTGTGTGTGTGTGTGTGTGTGTGTGTGTGTGTGTGTACTCACCTAGTTGTACTCACCTAGTTGTACTCACCTAGTTGAGGTTGCAGGGGTCGAGTCCGAGCTCCTGGCCCCGCCTCTTCACTGATCGCTACTAGGTCACTCTCCCTGAACCGTGAGCTTTATCATACCTCTGCTTAAAGCTATGTATGGATCCTGCCTCCACTACATCGCTTCCCAAACTATTCCACTTACTGACTACTCTGTGGCTGAAGAAATACTTCCTAACATCACTGTGATTCATCTGTGTCTTCAACTTCCAACTGTGTCCCCTTGTTACTGTGTCCAAATCTCTGGAACATCCTGTCTTTGTCCACCTTGTCAATTCCTCTCAGTATTTTGTATGTCGTTATCATGTCCCCCCTATCTCTCCTGTCCTCCAGTGTCGTCAGGTTGATTTCCTCGTAGGACGTACCTCTTAGCTCTGGGACTAATCTTGTTGCAAACCTTTGCACTTTCTCTAGTTTCTTTACGTGCTTGGCTAGGTGTGTGTGTGTGTGTGTGTGTGTGTGTGTGTGTGTGTGTGTGTGTGTGTGTGTGTACTCACCTATTTGTGGTTGCAGGGGTCGATTCACAGCTCCTGGCCCCGCCTCTTCGCTGATTGCTGCTAGGTCCTCTCTCTCCCTGCCCCATGAGCTCTATCATACCTCACCTTAAAACTATGTATGGTTCCCGCCTCCACTACGTCACTTTCTAGGCTATTCCACGGCCTGACTACTCTATGACTGAAGAAATACTTCCTAACATCCCTTTGATTCATCTGAGTCTTCAACTTCCAATTGTGACCTCTTGTGTCTGTGTCCCTTCTCTGGAACATCCCGTCGTTGTCCACCTTGTCTATTCCGCGCAGTATTTTATATGTCGTTATCATGTCTCCCCTGACCCTCCTGTCCTCCAGTGTCGTCAGGCCGATTTCCCTCAACCTTTCTTCGTAGGACAATCCCCGTAGCTCTGGGACTAGTCTTGTTGCAAACCTTTGCACTTTCTCTAATTTCTTGACGTGCTTGACTAGGTGTGGATTCCAAACTGGTGCTGCATACTCCAGTATGGGCCTGACGTAAATGGTATACAGAGTCTTAAACGAATCCTTACTGAGGTATCGGAACGCTATCCGTAGGTTTGCCAGGCGCCCGTATGCTGCAGCAGTTATCTGATTGATGTGTGCCTCAGGAGATATGCTCGGTGTTATACTCACCCCCAGATCTTTTTCCTTGAGTGAGGTTTGCAGTCTTTGGCCATCTAACTATATTGTGTCTGCGGTCTTCTTTGCCCTTCCCCAATCTTCATGACTTTGCATTTGGCAGGGTTAAATTCAAGGAGCCAGTTGCTGGACCAGGCTTGTAGCCTGTCCAGGTCTCTTTGTAGTCCTGCCTGATCCTCATCCGATTTGATTCTTCTCATTAACTTCGCATCATCTGCAAACAAGGACATTTCTGAGTCTATCCCTTCCGTTATGTCGTTCACATATACCAAGAACAGCACAGGTCCTAGGACTGACCCTGTGGAAACCCCGCTTGTCACAGGCGCCCACTCTGACACCTCGTCGCGTACCATGACTCGTTGTTGCCTCCCTGTCAGGTATTCTCTGATCCATTGCAGTGCCTTTCCTGTTATGTGTGCCTGATCCTCTACCTTTTGCAGTAACCTCTTGTGAGGAACTGTGTCGAAGGCCTTCTTGCAGTCCAAAAATATGCAGTCGATCCACCCCTCTCTCTCTTGTCTTACTTCTGTCACCTTGTCATAAAACTCTAGTAGGTTTGTGACACAGGATTTTCCTTCCCTGAAACCGTGCTGGTTGTCAATTATACACTTGTTTCTTTCCAGGTGCTCCACCACTCTCCTCCTGATGATCTTCTCCATGACCTTGCATACTATACACGTTAGTGATACAGGTCTGTAGTTTAGTGCCTCATGTCTGTCTCCCTTTTTAAAAATTGGGACTACATTTGCCGTTTTCCATACCTCAGGGAGTTGCCCAGTTTCAAATGATGTGTTGAAGATCTTCGTTAATGGCTCACACAATATCTCTGCTCCCTCTTTAAGGACCCATGGAGAG